ACTTACAGCTGGTACTCTACATCCCTGGTATATGGATAGGCACATGTGCAGTTACTGATTGGTGAAGTAGGGTGACCCTGTAGATGGAACTCTACAACCCCGGTATATAGATTGGCATACAGTATATGCAATTGGTGATCTGTGACTGGAAAAAGTGCAGTTGGGGATCGGTGAAGTAGGGTGGCCTTGCTACCTTTTAATCCATAACCCTGGTATATGGATTTGCTTATGTGTAGTTGGTGATGGGTGGTGTAGGGTGGCCCAGTAGCTGGCACTCTAGAGCACTGGTATATGAACTGTTGTTGGTGAATGAATCATGTTGGGTGGTCTTGCAGCAGATAATCTAAAGCCCTGGTAAATAAATTGGCATAAGTGCAGTAGGCGATCAGTGATGTAGGGTGGCCCTGCACTTGGCACTGTACAGCCCTGATATATGGATTAGCACATGTACAGTTGGGGATCCATGATGTAAGGTGAATCTGCAGCCAATAATCTATAACCCTTGTAGATACTGTATATATTGGCATATGTGCATCTGGTGATTTATGATTGCAACAAGTGCAGTTAGGGATCAGTGAAGTAAGGTGGCCCTGCAGCTGGTACTCTGCAGCCCTGATATATGGATTGGCACACCTATAGTAGGGGATTGGCCATGTTGAGTGGTCTTGTAGCTGTTATTCTACAGCCCTGATATATGGATTGGCACATGCACAGTAGGGAATTTGTGAGGTAGAGTGGACTTGCAGCTGGCTCCTTACGGTTCTTGTACATTGGCACATATGCATTAGGACAGGGGTGCTCAACCTGTGGCCAGCAGGCCACATGGGGCCCTTGGAGCCCTCTGATGTGGCCCTCGACCTCAAACCTGGGAAGCGCACTTCTATTATATTCTGTGAGTTTGGTACTCTTTCACAAAATGCACCACACCTGCAAGATATAAGAAGTCTATGGCAAAACGCAGCTAACCTACGGGAAAGCCGCAGGTGCACTGCACCCACTTTGCGGGTAAACCACAGCGTATGTGAAAAGTTTTATAGGGGGCTCAGGACACCCTCACATCCCCCCAACCATTGGTGTAGCATCAGGGGTCGCAAAGGTGAACCTGTGCGGCCTCCCTGGCACATTCTGTTTTATATTTGGACAGGAGGGGCAGCAGGGGTGACATATACATGAACCTATCCTCTCCATTTTCCTCCTGCAACCGCTGAAAGCCAGCTTCTCCTCCTCTTCCTCCCTTCAGCATTCAGCGGATACAGGAGGAAAAATTTAATTATGTAATTCAAGAGACAAAATGTGAAATTCTGAACCATTTTATTCCACCGTGACATGCAACCATTTACCAAATCACTTAAAGAGGTAGTAAACTGTTCTTTAATTATTTTATAATAAAGCTTGCCTGTAGGTAAAATGAGTATCTCCAACATGTGCACCGTTTAGGGGATATTAGCCTTTCTGACAGCCGGCACATGCGCTCTGCATGTATACCTGAATGCAAGTGTACAATCCAAACACACACGTTCCTGTGTTAAAAATGGTTGTGTGTATAAGTGGGTGCTGCAGCGACCATTGGCTGGAACCGAACAGAATCAGTAAGGGAGAATGTCACCAGCACACCGAGGATCACCAAAATGGGTCCAAAAGTTTTAATAAACGATCACATAGTTATAGCAAGGCAACGTTTCAGAGTCTCACAGGACCCCTTCATCAGGCATGTGACGATCATCACATACCTGATGAAGGGGTCCTGTGAGACTCCGAAATGTTGCCTTGCTGTAACTATGTGATCGTCGTTTATTCAAACTTTTGGACCCATATTGGTGATCCTCGGTGTGCTGGTGACATTCTCCCTTGCATGCATACCCGTACCGTTCCTGCAGAACTCTGTGCCGTGGGCCCGGGACCCCTGTGCAGGAGTGACGTCATCGCGGATCACCCAGTTGCCCGGCCAGAGCTTGCGAACCCGAAAGGAAGGCAGGTAGAACATGGAAGCCCCAGGGAGCCATGACAGCGCTCTGCTGGAGGGCGTCATTCAAGGTAAGTCTTCATAATGTGCTAGCATGTGATGCATATTTGTGGGGGGGAGGGGTGGTATTTATTTTTTTGGATGCGATTTACTATCACTTTAAGTGGCCTTTGCTCTTTGAAGGGTTGAGCATCCCTGCATTAGGAGATGGGTGATGTAGGGTGGTCCTGCAGCTGGAACTCTACTGGACTGGCCAAAGTTGTGTCCCCCTCAGCCGTGGCCCCCATGCAGTGAGGATCAGTGATGGGGGGGTCCTGATGAGCAGATCTATGAATTGTCTGCTCCCAGCGCTCCTCTCCCTCCTCGTCACATCATCACATAGTCGGCAGAGCCGGGAGTCCGCGGAGAGCTGAGCGGCGGCTGCAGAGGAGGCGGCACACATCTCCACCATCGCCGCACAGCACAACCGGAGGAATCCCCCCGCCCCAACCCCCCTGCAGCTGACAGCAGCCCCTTGTCACACCGGGAATCTCCAAGACACGCCGACCTCCAGCTCCCCCCCCCCCTTTTCTAGTGCTGATCATGGAGCTCGGTACGTGGTCTCCTCCTGATCTACTAACCTAAATCAGCCGCAAAGTGGGAGGACTGAGCCCGGGTAAGGCTGACAGCCAGCGGAGGAAGGAAGGGGAGGAGGGGGATGGGGGGTGACTGATCGCCTGGCGTGGGCTGCCTCTGCAGATGGCACGGAATTGGCAGCCAGGTGCGAAGGAGAAGGGAGCCGCGGGCGAATCTCGGCCAGGAGGTGTTAGGCAGGGCTTGCATGGATCTCCGCAGCCTGGCACCTGGGCTCCCCTGCTGCTTGTGGGTATGGATGAGCTGGGCAATGCCAATGGACAGCCTGGCATGTCTGATGGGCTAGATCAGTGCAGATCTGGGGACGACATGGGGGTGCACTGGACAGGAGATGGGGGTGCACTGGTCAGGAGATGGGGGTGCACTGGACGGGAGATGGGGGTGCTCTGGTCAGGAGATGGGAGTGCTCTGGACTGTAGATGGGGTGTTCTCTGGATAGGAGATGGGGTACTCTGAACTGGAGATGGGGTGTTCTCTGGATAGGAGATAGGGTATTCTGACTCAAGATGGGGTGTTCTCTGTATAGGATATGGGGTGTTCTGGACTAGAGATGGGGTGTTCTCTGGATAGGAGATGGGTTGCTTTGGACTGGAGATGGGGTGTTCTCTGGATAGGAGATGGGGTGTTCTCTGGGACAGGAGATGGGGTGTTCTCTGGATAGGAGATGGGGTGTTCTCTGGATAGGAGATGGGGTGTTCTCTGGACAGGAGATGGGGTGTTCTCTGGATAGGAGATGGGGTGCTTTGGACTGGAGATGGGGTGCTTTGGACTGGAGATGGGGTGTTCTCTGGACAGGAGATGGGGGTGTTCTCTGGATAGGAGATGGGGTGTTCTCTGGACAAGTAAAGCTGCAAGTGGGCACCTGGGCACAGACAGCTGCCTCTGGACTGGCTGCTCCATCTCCTACACGTGAAATGGGCTCGTTTTCCCCTCCCACATGCTCCTTCATGTACACATTATCATGCCTAGTAGATGATCTGACACCCCCCCCCCCTTCATCCCCCCTTTTCCTTTAATTCACATAGATGGGGGGTCTGCCTGTATTGCATGCCGCCTGCATTGCGTCTCTATGTGAATTCCCATAGAAAAAATGCCTTGTGTTTGTTTTTTCTCCTTCCTTGGCAGTAAAAAAACACAGAAAGCCTTTAGGATGTAGTATTTGGAGTGGCTGGACTTGTGATGGCCAGGGAGGATGTTGCTGCCCTCTCCTCTCCTGCACCAAATCGCTCTCAGGTTTCTGCTGATACTGCAACGTCAATAAATGGTTAGTTTGCTGTCCCTCTTAATGTATTCAGACTTAGCAATAAGCCACACTCATTGCTGCTGGTGATGCAGCTGGTCTGCAGTTCCCTGGATTCTCCCGGCTCCCTATGCCTCTTTTGGAATAAGTGAGGATTTTAAAGCACACATTATTTGATGTCATTTTTTTTTTGTATCTACCTATTTTATTTAACAGAAGAGTTGCCTGTGAAGCCTTCTTTGACTTGCTTTCAATGCAGCCTTCTATAGCATGCAGTATGAATATTTCAGCAGGACGTGCGCTGGCTGCTGGGCTGCTGTAAACCGATCTGTTTGTTTAAGGGGCACAGAAGGCTGATCTGCATGCGCCTTTTATTTTTTTAATTTTTTTCCCAAATGCTGCAAGGCTTGACGCATTCCCATGCTGCTATCACAGTACCTACCATGCTGCTGCAGCTACTCACAAACAAGGTAAGACACCAGCACTTGCCTTAATCCCCCCCTTCTCCTCCCTTTGCTCCCCTCCACACTGCATCCTATTCACTGCAGTAGAGTGATTTGTTTGTGTAGTTCCCTGAACTTGGTGCTTTGTGTCGGAATGTGAATTGTTTTGCCTTGCCTTGCTCCGAACCACTCCAGAAAGTCTGCATGTCTGGGTATGTGTTTTTGCACAATGGGGGTAGTCGATTCCTTATTTTTTACTCCTTCTTTTAGTGGTTTCTTTTCTTTTTTCCCCCCCCTGCAGCTTTCTTCTACTGCACTGCTGTTATGATCCGGTTTACCTAACTGTGAAAGCAAAAAAAGAGGAGGGGAGAGGAAGAGGAGGAAAATCTGCTGAGTTGGCAAAGCCTTTAGCATCCTGCAAGCATTTCTGGAGAAGGGTGACAGCAAGCCCAGCAATGAAATATTCGGAGAGGAGAACTGACTTGCTGGAATAGAGCAGAGAGGAGTGAGATTTTTTTTTTTTTTTGCAAGATTTGGGCTGGCCTGAGGGGAGATTTGGGTTGTAGTAGATGTGAAGGGGGCATCGGAGTTGGCAACCCTTGGTCCCCTTACTGTGTTTTGCCTTGAAGACCCTGGACGGGGTAGAAGGAGGGTGTTGCAGCAGCAAAGTGGTTACCCCCCGTGGTATCCCCTCCCCCACCCCCTCCTCCCCTGCAGCAAAATGACCGTGATAGCGGGAGAAAACATGGACGATACGTCAGCCCTTCCAGGCCACCCTCAAGATAGCTACCACCCTGACCACGATGACCATGAGTGCTGTGAGAGGGTGGTCATCAACGTGGCTGGGTTGCGCTTTGAGACACAGTTAAAAACCCTTGCCCAGTTCCCCAACACATTGCTTGGAAACCCCAAAAAAAGGATGCGCTATTTCGACCCTTTGAGGAATGAGTACTTTTTTGATCGTAATCGCCCTAGTTTCGATGCCATACTGTACTACTATCAGTCTGGGGGTAGGCTTCGTAGGCCGGTCAATGTACCCCTGGACATGTTTTCTGAAGAGATCAAGTTCTATGAACTAGGGGAAGAAGCCATGGAAAAATTTCGGGAGGATGAGGGCTTTATTAAAGAGGAGGAGCGCCCCTTGCCGGAAAAAGAGTTCCAACGTCAAGTGTGGCTTCTGTTTGAATACCCGGAGAGCTCAGGCCCAGCAAGGATCATTGCCATAGTTTCTGTCATGGTAATCCTTATCTCCATTGTTATCTTCTGCTTGGAGACCTTGCCAGAATTAAAGGATGAGCGGATCTTCAGCCGCAAAGTGGACAACAGTACAGTCTTTTTCAAATCCAACATCTTCACAGATCCCTTCTTTGTGGTGGAAACCCTCTGCATCATCTGGTTTTCCTTTGAGTTGGTGGTAAGGTTCTTTGCTTGTCCCAGCAAAGCAGAATTCTTTAAGAACATCATGAACTTTATTGACATAGTGGCCATCATCCCATACTTTATTACCTTGGGGACTGAAATGGCCGAGCAAGAAGGTCCCCAAAAAGGGGAGCAGGCAACCTCTTTGGCCATCCTGAGGGTCATCAGACTGGTAAGAGTATTTAGAATCTTCAAACTCTCCAGACATTCTAAGGGCCTCCAAATTTTGGGACAGACCTTGAAAGCTAGTATGAGAGAACTAGGGTTGCTAATCTTTTTTCTGTTCATTGGGGTCATCTTGTTCTCCAGTGCAGTGTACTTTGCGGAAGCAGAAGAGGATGAGTCTCATTTTAGCAGTATCCCTGATGCTTTCTGGTGGGCGGTGGTATCCATGACCACTGTGGGCTATGGTGACATGTACCCTGTGACAATTGGAGGCAAAATCGTGGGCTCCTTGTGTGCCATTGCTGGTGTCCTGACAATTGCCCTGCCCGTACCTGTCATCGTGTCCAACTTCAACTACTTTTACCACCGAGAAACTGAAGGGGAAGAACAGGCTCAGTTACTCCATGTTAGCAATCCCAATTTAGCCTCTGACAGTGACTTGAGTCGCCGCAGCTCTTCCACTATGAGCAAATCTGAGTACATGGAGATTGAAGAAGATCTGAATAATAGCATAGATAATTTTAGAGAGTCGAATCTGAGAACTGGCAACTGCACCGTAGCCAATCAGAACTGTGTTAACAAAAGCAAGCTACTGACAGATGTGTAGAGCCACGCCCCCTTCCCAAAGCTGCAGGATCTCATTGGCTCTGCCACTTTCTGTAGATGCTTTAAAACTAGTCTTTTGAATGCTTTACCATCGTTAATGCATTGTTGCATTGCGAATTTGTGCTCAGCGATCAAAAAAAAACCCAGAAGCTTTCAGGATCTGTGAAAGATAATTATCATTTATTTTTAAATGGGGATTTTTTTTTCTTTTTGGTTTTTGTTCCCACTGGTCTTTGGAAGTGTCTCCCAACCAGTGGTCTTAGATAAAGGGGTATAAACAAAGTACTACAGGACAGCAACTTACAAATACTTTCTTCCCTTTGCTTGTCAATCTTAAAATTTCAGAACAAAACCATTGATTAAAAGATATGCATGGATTTTTATCAGTAGCTTTCTTGAAAGACAGTTGCTTTGAGCATCCAAGGAAGTTCTCCTTAACCAAGGAGTATGAAGTATGCAATTACTTGCTCTTTTTTGACCTGAAGAAGTGTATTACTGTCCAGTGAAATATTATGCACTTAAACGATGACCTGATCCATAAAGCACCTTAGGAATCAATCCATGACTTTGCTCCATCCTAAAGGGAGAGGGACATATATTTAAAAAAAAAAAACATTTAAATGGAAAAAAAATGGACAGACATCTGCAATTGCTGCTAGAGTTTTCTTTCTTAAATGCAGATGAGTTCGACCTTTTTTTTTTAAATTTCTCTTTGGTTCACAAAACTTGGATGCAACTACCCCTCTTCTCTTTACGCCTCTCCTCCCTCATCATCCTCGTTGCAAGACAGCACAATGGTATTAATCATAAGCATGTTTTTCAATTTGATACCAGTTGTATTTATTTGATAATCTCGCATGCTTGAAATGTTACCTCAAAAATATGGGGGTTAAGTTTTATTTTTCCTTTGATAATTATTATTTTTAAATTTCCTAATTGGATCACTTTGTCTTCCAAAGGGGTTTGCGACAGCTTGCAGTGCAAGATGCTGTGCCCCTCTCTGGCAAAACAAAGGGTGAACTTAAAGCATTTTTAAATTGTTATTTATTATTTTATTTTATTTCAGTTGTTATCATTTGCATTCACCAAAAGTGCACTCCTAATTTCTGGAAAACAAAAAAATAAAAAAAAGAAACTTTAAATTAGTAATTTGCAGTACTGTATGTAAACGCATAGCAAGTCAAATGGGGACAATAATCTTTTCTTAGAAGACCACGCATGTTCAAGTATTCAGCATTATGGCCTATTTGACTAAGGTGTAATTCGAAGTAAATTTATGCATGTTATCAGTATTAAAAAAAAAAAGAAAAAAAAGCAAAAAAAAAAGCAAAAAGAAAAAAGTTCTTAATGGATTAGGAGCCAGTTGGAATATAAGGGCCTATTGATTTTCCTGAAGTATGACTCAGGGAAATATGTTAACTTTTTCCAGGCATAATTATTAAAAACAAAAATTCAAAAATACAAGGGAGACAGTGGGATTTTGATAAAAGTCGGAAAGGACAGTATGTAGTAATACCTAAGACTTAAAAGAAAAAAAAAAAAAAAAAGAATTGAGTAGATTTACTGAACTGGTGCAGATGCATGCATTTTGCTGCAGTCTCAGAATGTAATTTTACCATTTACAGTATGCATTAAAAACTGCAGACCATGTTCTTAGCCTCTCATCATTTGACATCCATAGACTTTTTTTCTAAAGCTCTAGAATATGCTATGTTCTAGAGAGGAGAACGATCGAGATCAGGAATGGGTTACCTGTGGCTCTCTAGCTGATAAGGAAAGACCGCTCTGAGCATGCATAGCAACAGAAGGAATGACTCCCAGAAAGCCCCTCTTGTTGTTGAGAGCTGGTGTTCTTCATGGTATAGGATGCTAGGAGTTGTCTCTCCTCAATATCTTGAAAACTGGAGGTTGCCCAAGCCTCATCTACATAGTTGCTAGTGCCTTTATCCTTCCTTCACCGACTTTGCTGAAAGTGCCTCCGTGACTAAAGCTAAGATGTACAGGAACTGTACTGTGTAAAAAAGTCTTGATAACTTCATATGAATCCCTAGGGGCGTGATCTCCCCTTGTGTCCCGTGAAAAAAAAAAACTCTGATGTACAGAGCAGGGCCAGTATGCTTGGTTGTATATTATCTTGAAAGATCATTTGTATTATTAATGCTTTTTATTTGTTAAGCAACTAAAAAGCCTTTTATATTGCTTATGTGCTGTATGAAGAAAATTGATCTTTCAGCCTACAAGAAAAATGTATGCACTTAGAAAGCTGCAACTTTTTTTTTTTTTCAAATTTCATTTGCTCTTTTGGTCATTGTCCAATCATGTTTTCCTTGCTGTTCTTTGCCAGAATACCCACCAATACATATGCAATGCAATGCTGCAGAATGTTATTTACTATTTTAGACGCACAATGCCAAGGGTTTAAAAAATGACAAGAAATGCTTGTTAAGTGGTGCATTACAAGGGATATCCCACTGTTATAAATTTGCTACTGAAGGAAATGGCAGAGAGATAGAATACTTTGTAAAGAATAATAAACTCCTAATTTGTTTTGTTGGGTGACTTGTGTGTCTCCTGATGTAATCCAAATGTTTTTTGGGCCCAAAAAAAATTGTTCAAGGGTGTCTACAACATGACTACAATTCTCAAACGCCAATGGGCATAGCCTGAACATTTTCCATTGGGTACAGTTGATAGATTAAAAGTCTGTATGTGCTATGGTTCATAGCGACTGTTTACAAAGTTTCACATCTTCCTGCCCTGCTATTTAGGGTCAGATTTGCCAGGAAAGTGGGCAAATGCAGCTACGTTTTTAAAGGCTTACACCTCTCCTGTGATTTCACTGTTTTCCCAAAAAATCATGTGTAGAGTGAACATTTCATCCATCAGCTTTATCAAGGGATGTAAAAGAAAAAGTGATTTTTGGCAAAGGATCAGTATACTAAACCATTTCTGAAATCGGGCTGCAGAATTACACTAAACCTCTTCTATTGAATTTTGTAAACTACTTTCAGGCTGGAGGCAGGTACCTCCCAAGGAACCTCAACAACTTCAGCTCTGGAGGTCACTTCTTGGCTTGTTCCTTCCTGATTCCTGCACCTCGCTGTTGGCCAGTGAGGCCGCACATCACATTGAGGGACCAATAGGAGGCAGGAAGGAATGGGTCAGGGGTTGACTCTCAGAACAGGTGTCTAGATTTGCATGACTGAGCACCACGAGTTTTGGGACTTTTTTGGTACCCAATTTCAGTCCTGTAAGTAGTTTAGGAACTTTACGGGACGCATCGTTTACTTTAGCATAAGATAATAAAAATATAAATGGTGTTTAAACTTAAGGTTTAAAAATCATAAAGTGTTTGTGCAGGTTAGGTACCACTAGGCACCTGTTCTTATCAGTGTTATGTCTGAAGGATGAAAATCCTTCAACACTTAGGTGAAGAAGGTAACATATGTCTTGGTCCATAATTCCTGAAAACAGATGTGAAATTAGGAAAATTGCTGTTACAGTTATGTTCCTTGAGGTTTCAATAAAATAAAAATAACATATGCTTTGCAGACATGTATAGACAAAATTGTATTTGAGGGTTCATTCAGGCTTTTCCATCTTTAGCATTGTAAACCTAAATGAATACAGTTGTGAGAAAACATTTGGGTACCCCTGGTCAAGGCATGTTTTTTTGATTTCCCAATGGAAACACAAGGTTTACAGGGAACAATCTTAAAGTTAAATCATAGTCCTTTAAATATTTTATAGGTATGCATTTGAAAGAGTTCATCTCAAAATTCAGGTCAGTGTGCATTTACAGATTAGAAACCTAATTTCCATGTACAGTTTGTAAAAAATAAATGTACATGAAGGCAGACATACATGTTCATTATATGCTCAGCTATGCTTCCACCTTAACAATGTACTTGGTGGTTTCTTATCTTAGAGCAGGTCTTCTAGAGAAGATCTGGCTGACTGAAAATAGTAGACTCCCGACAATATCTAATAACATTAAAAACTCACAAAATCCACTCTCCTGGAAGCCAGAGGTCATGTGACAAAGGCAGTCTAGGCTTCAGGTCACATGAGAAAACATATTTTTTATTAGTGACACACAAGAGCTACATTATTAACATCTAACAAAATGCTAACATGGGTCCTACTGATTCATTAGAAATCTTAGATGTAGTAACAAGTTAATTTTAGATTGTATATACCCAAAATTATCCATGAACTACTTCAATTATTGGCACGTCAAATGTAAATGAGCAAAAAACAAGGAGATTTAGATTTTTAATTCTTTTATTTGCTCAAAAATCAATGAAAATGCCAACATGTTCCTTATGTTTCTTAACATGCCTCTTCTTCAAAGCTAAGGGAAAAAAAACCCATACTACTTCAGAAAATGATGAAAAAGAATTGTAGTAACGTCCTTTACAGAATTACTTACTAATGAAAATCTGTAGTTATCAGATTAGCAATGAACACCTCTTCAGTCCCCTCTATAATTACTAACTTATTACCTGACATATCCATGTGGATGTCAAACCACTTCCTCAAACTCAATCTTTCTAAAACTGAGCTCATAATATCCCCCATCGCCCGTGCTTCTCTCCCCTGACTTTTCCATCAAGATCAATAATACAACTATAAGTCCCTCCCCTCATGCTAGGGTATTAGATTTAATTGTAGACTGTGACCTGTCCTTCCAGTCCCAAATCCAGTCAGAATCCAAAACTTGTAGACTTCACCTCTGTAACATCTCCAAAAACACACCCCTTTTTTTACCAATGAAACTATCAAGCTACTTATTCACTCCCTTGTTATCTTTTACCTCCTCATAGGCCTACATCTAAACAGGTTATCCCCCTTTTAGTCTATCATGAGTGCTGCTGCCAGATACATTCACCTTACCAACTATTCATTGTCTACCGCCCCTCTGTGCCACTCCCTCCACTAGCTTCTGATTGACCAACAAATAAAATTTAAAATAATAACAACAACATACAGCCCTGCCCC